AGAAGGGAGACAAGACCGGAGACAAAGGGAGACAAGAAGGGAGACAAGGCGGACACAGTGACCAACAAGAAGGGAGACAAAAGGAAACAGAAGGGAGACAAGGCGGACACAGTGACCAATAACAAGGGGGACACGGTGACCAACAAGAACAGACCAAGGGACACAAGCCAGACGGAAGGCGGACACGCAGTCCGGCAGCAAGGCGGACACTCTTAGAAAGCATTTAAAACCCCAAATCACCTGGGAGACAAATGAATAGAAATGCTGGAAAGGGCAAAAGGGCGGACGCCAGCAGCGCAGGCACCGAACCTGGAAAACCAAAGTAAACAAACCACATGGGAAACAAATGAATCAGAAATGCTGCATGGCCAGCGGAAAAGGGCGGACACCAGCAGCGCAGGCACCGAAACTGGGAGACAAAAGTAAAGAAATCAATGCTGCATGGCCAGCGGAAATGGGCGGACACCAGCAGTGACAGAAAGGACGGACACATCTTAAGAAAGAATTGAGATACCCTACGTAACGGCAAACTGTTTGGGGAATGAATAGAAATGTTGCATCGCCAGCTGAAAAGGGCGGACACCAGCAGTGACACACCTCGGAGACAAATGAACAGAAATGCTACATGGCCAGCGGAAAAGGGCGGACACCAGCAGCGACACAAATGGCGGACACATCTTAAGAAAGAATTGAGAACCCCTAACAGTAAACTGTTTGGGGAAAAACAAATGTCAGTCCGTCCCACTGGGTCTGTAGGGATCATTGATCACGAAAAAGCTTACAGGGAAGCAACGAGGCTCAAGACCATCATGGCTGTAGGTGGATATAGTCTATAGTACAATGAAACATGAGGTCAGGCCACAACGGAGCCTGGATTGTCAAGCGAGAACGTCTTTGGCAACTGCTGCCTTAGGAGACTGCAAGCGCAAGGACTAGTTTGCCGTCACACAAGTTTAGTACATTGGCGCGTTTGCTTGAGTGAACTTGTGGGGCAACAAATTACAACCAAAGACCGTTGCAGTGCATTTTGCCCTGCTGCGAAGACACACGGCTTGCAACTCTTTGTCTCCGCCGCCACGCTTTGTCATGGCTCCAAGTAAAATGAAAAGAACAAGTGCTCACCGTACTTCCAAACCTGCTTCACAAGACTCGTTGATCGCGAATGTTCCCGAGGGTGGTCAGTGTTCCCGCGAACATGTCTCACTTTGCTTCAAATCTGCGCTTTGCTGGTCTGTTGTGAAGCACAATTGGTTTCGCTCCATATGTTTCATATGCTTCGGCCCCTTGCGCTCACATGTCATGAAGGTCATGAAGTTTCCAAGAGCTCAAAGGCCATCGACATTATAATCATGTATAAACCAGTATATAATGGTTGAACTGCGAGCAAAGTGTCACGCCTGTCGCACTTTAGGTAGCGTTGGTGCTGAACGTACCTGTAGAGGAAACCAACTCCAAGCACATCTCACTTCTCTCTTTTAGCTGCTCTAGAATCTCTGCAACAGGTTTGCCACTTTGCTGTGTGAGCTCTCAACGAAACAGCGTAGTGGGCACCTTGTTGAGTGGCGATGGCTGCAGTACGCTCGACCGTGCATGCTGAAGCACGCTCGATCGTGCGTGCTGAAGCACACTTGACCGCGCATTGGGTGAAGCGATGCCATATGGAAGGCCCATGCCATCACCTCCAGCAAATGGAAGGTCTTAGAAAAAAGAACGTATGTGAATCGAATCGAATGGAATTGAAGGGCGTTGAATTGACTTGAACTGACGTGATTTGAATTGAATGAGTTGAATTGAATTGAGTGAGTTGAGTTGAATGAAGTTGAATTGAATTGAAATGAATGCATGTATGACTGAACACACCTTTTCTCCCTCAAAGCTTAAATTATTCAAATGGACGGCCAATATTTCAGCTACTGCGCCAGTAGTTTTAAGTTTATCTCAACCGAAAAGTACAGCTCACCGACCCTACACCCTACACACATTGAACGAGTTTAGTCTCGAGGAGAAGAACCCGAAAGCAAAGCGCTGCTCCTTGTTAAGCTTGATGAATATCATGTCAATGTCCTCGTGACTACAAAGCCTGTGACATCCTAAGAAGCCAGCCCCGAGAAGCATAAGACTATATACGACATTGTTGGCAAGCTTAGCAACAAGATTCAACTGATGAACACGCAAAATCTCGCATGGACAGGACAGTTTACTACTAAGACCCTGTCCAACAAGAATCCCATGACCTCCAAAGTCCCGGCCTGGCGTCTCTTTGGACTCCAAGATCTGTGCAGGTCGACCTGTCCGCAGCAGCCTGGCCAAGCGTTCCGCCGTTCTACCACCGAGAATTCCACCGTTGGGGTGAAAAATAACGATGCCAAACAGTCGCCAGATGCACTGTTCCACCTCCTGAAAGGCCTGAAAGGGGATCTTGGAGTTCAGAGGTCAGACGGTGACCCCAAGGAGGCAACAAGTGCTGGTTGATTACTGGTTGATGAAACAAACTGACGGCGCGCGCTCAACAGCAAAACAGCAAAACGTTTGCGTCGTTCAGGCATGTTCAATCATTTTCAGGCTATCTTGGGACCTGCTTAGTAATTGCATGTTCTTTCAATGGCTCTCATCAAGAGCCCCGAATGCTTCAGGCAGTGGAAGGTAACCATGACAAAACCCAGCCAGAAAGGGTTTCTGCGGGAACGCTCAAGTTGTTCTGGGCAGGGGCAACATAATGGAATACGGCGCAGCCACCGAGCAGGGGAAAAAGGCCCGGGCAAGGCAGAGAAGAAACGGTCCACGGCGTGGCCCAGCAGCACACACAGACCCGGACGAATCCTGGACACGCGGTGGACAAGACGGGGCTTGGCGGGTGGTTCAACTGCTCCACGCTTTGAGATTTCCAACAAAGCAGGCTCTTTTCACTTGAGAAGCCGCGGCCTTGTACAGGCACTTGTGAGTTGCACTCTTCTTCTTTCCACAGTGCTACACTCCTCCTTTGTTTGAAGCGTTCTGTAGCTCCAAACAACTTCCACACACTCTCAGTGCTTTGTGAAGTTCGTGATCACTTGCACTGATTGCTTCTCTGCCAGGTTCGTGTTCCCCAGCAGTGATTGCTCTCAGCATTGAGTGCGCCTCAGCGCCTTCTTCGCGGTCCAGCTGCTTCTGCTTGTTCGACTTGCTGCCGCAAAGCTTCTCTCTCTGCCCCTGCTCTCCTTTCTCTCACGAAGTCCATCCATTCTCTGGTTCCCAGGGCCCATCCATAGTCTCTTGAAGATTCAGGGGTCTCTTCTTCAGGCTCAGGCTCATAGCAAAGCCTTCGAATCAGCCATTTGTCACCATCTCTCACCCAATTGGGATTCTCGATGAAGTACTCCTCGCCATCTTGGGGTGCGTCGATCTCTGGGTCGAGGAGTCGGCGCATCTGGATTTCACCTGTTTCCGGGTTCACCCAGAACACGATGCCAGGCATGTTGTACTCTGACTCTATGTAGCACTCTGGGTGTTCTCCCAGCTCTTCTCTCAAACCAGCATGCCTTCGAAGTTCTGGAACTGCGTCCGTCACTTCGTCGCCAGGTTCGCGTTCTACACGTTGAACTTGTCAAGGCGAATCACCTTCAAGTTCTTCAGCAGGTTGGTCTGCTGCAGATTCTTCTTCCTCTTCTGAACTTTCTTCACTCAAGCGTCCAAGTCCTGGCATTCTAGACGTCCATCCACGTCCAGGAAGTACTCTTCGCCAGGGATTGAAAGCTTGCGCTCGGTGTTGAAGAACTCTGTAGGTCGCCATCTCTTGGCCAATAGGGTCCCAATCTTCCACTGTTGCGATGACATCACCATCATCCTGGCGTCCTCTGTGATTTCATCTTCCGTGGGTTCCCCGCCAGAGGTGTAGGCTGTCTCCGTGAGGTTCTCGAGTTGTGGTTCTTCTTCTTGTTCTTGTTCTTCACCTTCTTCTTCTCCTTCAAGTAGTAGGTGGTTGACGTTTCCACCATCAGGTTCATTCCATAGTTCTCCATCTCGATCACTTCCACGAGCTTCCGGATCATGTCCGGCCGGTTCTCCGAAGATGTTGAACCTGGTGTTCTTGACCTTTCTTTGTTCACCATCTCGATGAGGGTCTTGCGGTGGTGAGTTGCGTCGTTGAAATTCTCCTCCACCTTCAACAGGTCGTAGATTGAAGTAGTCCCTGAGAACAGGATGAAAACGAAGCTCCAACTCGTGGTCCACCAGCATACTCCAAGTAGCCAATGAGGCCCAGCAAGAATCTCAGTCTCTTGCTGCTGTGAATCTTTGTTCCCAAGTCACTGCCGTTCTCTTTTCCCGGCGCTGGTCGAATTGCTGCTTCTCGCTCTTCAACTTTCTGTTGCGCCCAAAGAAGTCCAGCGCTTATGCGCCGGGTTCTCTGTACTCCTTGTCGTTGGAGTAGTGCTCGAGCAGAGGAACTGTCAATCCTCAGCTCCAAGGTCCAAGACCACCTTCATGTTCAGCACGGCCTCCAACATCCTCTTGATGTAGATCCCATCTGCCATGCCGCTGACTGCGGAAATGAACTCAGCTTCACAGCTTGACGAAGGGCTTCTGCTTGCACTCCAAAAGAAGATGCCGTTGAGGTACATGTGACTGCGTGACATAGATCTCCTCGTAGTCCTACCCGAAGCCCAGTCACTGTCTGCGAAAACTTCGAGCAGGCTCGGATGTTGCGTTGCAGCCATCTTCACGTCGTCGCTCCTTTCTCCCATAGCTGAAGCCATTGCAAAACTCTGCTTCATCTCCTGGACATAGTCAGCCGTGTGCTTCAGGTAGAGCACCAGCTGCTTCAACTCCTTCTGGTCCAGGGTGTCAGGTTTGAAGCCAATTGTCGAACTGCGCATTGGATATCTGGCCTTTCTGTTGACGTGTAAAGCAAAATGCCAACACATGTTCTGTAGAGGCTCGACTCTTCTCTTGAAAGGGGTTGTCCTTGTAGCCCTTTCTGGAAGGTTCCAGTTGTAGGCGTCAGCGTGCCCTTGTTCACGCGCAGGTCCAACAAGTCCACCAACTTCTTCACATACTTCTGGTCCATTCGAACTGTCATGGAACCAGACCCATCAGAAGCAAAATGCCTCTTGAGGAATGCGCACTGCCCTGCAACCTTGGGTGAGCAGGGTCCTTGTACTTGAAGTGTCCATTCCTGCTTTCTGAAGTTATCAAGGGGCTTCTCAACATCTTGTTGACTTCCAACCAGCTGTAGGTCGTCAACACGTGAAGACAACCTTGTAGAAGACTGCGGGGTTTGCAGGGTATGGTTGTAGTCCTTGGTCTCGTGCCAATTTGCCCAAGTGGTCATACCATGCCTTGGATCCAACTCGTTGTCCAGGAAGGCGTCGTCCAAGTTCAAAGAACTCTCCACTGCACTCCACATAGACCTTCTCCTCCTGGGGAACCATGAGGTAGGCTTCCTTGACATCGACTGCCCATAGTCCAAGTTCTCCTTGGCTCGACATCCCAGGCGGAAGAAACTTGGAATCTCTGCCCACCAGTCTTGACCGTCTCATCCAGCCAAACTTGCCAGTCTCTTCCTTGAGGCGCCCTGTAGCCCTCAAAGTTGCCATTCTTTGGAATGAAGACTCCCATCTCCTTGAGGCGTGAAATCTCTCGCTCGTCTGCCTCCAACTCCAACTGCGCCAGCATCTCGTCCGAGACATCTGGAGGTCCTGCTTTTTCAGACTCTTGCTTCAACCACTTCATTGAACTCGCCCCAGTCATTGAGGTCCATCAAAGGGCGCTCGTCCACCTCGACGAACTCTTGCTCATCCAAAACCACTTCTTGAATGCCGCCAGCAAATGAAGGTGCTGCTGCTAGGCTGCTTCCCGTTGGTGAAGACGATGGGGATGCTCTGGGAGGAACTGAAAAAGTCCACCTTTGCTTTCTTGACCGGCTCTGTTCGCGCGCTCTTCGAGGGAGGTTCTTCTCCAGGAAGTTCACCATGAGGTCGAAGTTCTCCTTGAGGGTGTTGAGGTCCAACTTGTTGTTGAGGAACTTGAGGGTGTAGTCCACCATGAGGTTCACCAAGGACTCCTCCTGGATGTAGTGCGTCTGGTTCTGCATCCTTGATGACCAAATCATCTGGAGGTTCTGTCGGAGTGTACGGGACATTCTCCGGGGTGTAGGGAACTGGTTGTCCTTGTTCACCGTCAGCAGGCTTCTTATTCTCGGTCTCCTTCTGCTGCTTGTCCTTCAAGTCCTTG